GTGTTGTGGCCTCGATCAAAGGGAAGAAGGATGCGCAGATTATTATAAATGCTGCGATCGTTCAACTCGATCTGATGGTTGTCAAGTAGTTTATGAATGTTGTGAGGGTGATATTAATAGCCCGGGATGTTCTGAAGTTTGTTTGGAATGTGGCGAAAACAGAAGTGAAGCTGTAGGATGTTCAGAACACCAACAGCATGACTTCGGGCCGAATGTAAAGAAACCTCTTCGTCTATGGGCTTAGTAAAGACCTTAATAAAAATTTCATTACAAAGGTATTGTCTTGATTATATTTGTTTATTTGATTAAATTTATAGATGTTTGTTTGGTCTAACTATTATTTCGAGATTCTATTCTCATTTTTCTTTTATTATTTTTAGTTATATTTATCTTTATTATTACTTCCTTTTTTACATATTTATTCTTTATTGGGAATTCGGATTAATCTTGATAATTTTGACTGGTGATATCAAGCATTTCAAGCAATTATAATTAATTTATTCTGAATTTGATTAATATTTCGTAATTTTGCATCGGTGAGATTTATTTAGTGCCTTAACTTATACAAAAAATGAATAAATTTTAAAAATGCGAAAATTACCCAATCTTTTATTATAAATATAAATTCAAAATTGTATTCATAATTTAAATTTGAAAAGATTAATTTTTTTGGTACAAAGTTTTATATTGCTCCTTTTATTCTTTTTTTCGTTTATTACTTTTTATTTTTTCGATTTTTGATAATTCTATTTCAACAAGTTTAACCCATTCATCTCAGGTACCTACTATTTGATAATCAATTAACCCGTTCCATTCTTTAGTAACTACATCTGTAGCATTTACCAATATCACAACCTTTGCGATCATGAACAGCTCTAGCAAAGTCCTTTATGATAGCTTTTACGCCAGGAATCCTTAAAGATGTACCCATTATAACCAAACAATCAGCTTTATCTTGATAATGTGTTGCGATTTGACCAATTTCTAATCCTTTAGGATGTGAATTATCGTAAAGAACTATTGTCGGTTTTAGTTGTCCAATAGTATATGTCGTTTTCTTTGTTTAGTCCTAGCGTTTTCTTATTAAA